CACTTCAAGATACCATGGCAAAATGAGTAAGAAAGAGAAAAAATTTCTTTAATTTTTCCACTCTAAAATTTTGTCATTCACATCAGATTCGACGATCCTCCGACACGAGAAGAGACGAACCTTTTCATTGCTAAATGCAAGTCTTTTCGAAAAGAGCATCCGAACAAGTGCATTGGCGTTCACTGTCACAGCGGTCTCAATCGCACTGGCTTTTTTATCTGCTCCTACCTGACTGAAGTTGTGAATATGAACGTTCGCAAGGCTATTAAAGTGTTCCAGAATTCCCGTCCGCCTGGAATTGAAAACGAATGCGTCAAAGATGAACTGATTCGTCGATATGATACGCTCTATCTCTTGAAGAGGATCTCTAAAATTGCTGGGTTCAATTAGCGTTCACGATAAGGAGACTTTGAAAATTCAAGTCAAATACCAAAAAAGTTTTTATCATATTACATCATTCTTTTGTATTTCACAGTGATCTCCTATATAAGACGATAGTTTTGCTTGATATTCCAAAGAAAGAAAAATGTTCCTGTCCTNAAAAGGATCTCCAAAATTGCTGGGTTCAATTAGCGTTCACGATAAGGAGATTTTGAAAATTCAAGTCAAATACCAAAAAAGTTTTTATCATATTACATCATTCTTTTGTACTTCACAGTGATCTCCTATATAAGACGATAGTTTTGCTTGATATTTCAAAGAAAGAAAAATGTTCCTGTCCACAATCGTAGAAACCAGTTTCACCGGCTTCTCCTACCGTACAACTTGTTTGTGCTTTCCATTTCACCTGTCATGTTTGCCTTGTTCTGATTAGGCCTGCTATTTCCCATTCTATAATAAAAATCTTTGTGGTTATCTACTGAAGATTTACCTTTCAATTGTTGCCGCTGTTACCACATGTTCCAAAATATCGTCTTTTTGAACCAGAAACGCTTTTTAGCACGTACTCTATGACGGGCTACAGACGCAAAAGCCAAAACAATTTTCATTTTTGTAGATTTTCTCGAGTGAACTTTCAAGTCGTTTTCATCTTTATTGTTTCCATTTAGACATCTTATCTACCCATCTTATCTGTTAAACTAAGCAAGGTTTTCCTAGGTTCTTAGATATAATGGCGTCAAGAGGATTGCCACCACGATGGAAGAACTGCCCTCGTTTTGGCGACCCGATTGCAGGTAATAACATTTTGTTTTGTTGTCATTTCATCGTCTCATTGACAAATTGCTTTTGCATCGTTTCAGACCTCTTTATACCATTCAAAGTACCACTCGCCGAATCCTTTTTTAATATGCTAAATCCAAGCGAATACTTTACACCACAAATGATGATCTCTTCAATGAGAAGTAAAAAGGTAGACAGTTTTTTTAAAGTGGTTTACTGTTTGCTGAAACGTAAAGTTTACCTCAGTTAAATGTTGGACTATGGATCGATTTGACAAACACCAATCGGTATTATGAACTGCAGAATCCAGCCAGTGACGGTATTGAATATGTCAAGCTAAGACTACGAGGGTAAACGCTTTGCACCATCCTTTTTATTACCGACTTAGCAAACGTTGAATTTTTACATTGCAGACATGGCGAATGCCCCAAAGTGGAACAAGTTCAAGAGTTTATTAACCTATGCCGCAGCTTTCACAATAGAAGGCCAAATTTCCATATAGCAGTTCATTGCACACACGGATTCAATCGCACAGGATTTCTCATATGCGCCTTTCTGGTGGATGAACTCGGCTGGGACATCGAGGCTGCTATTCAAACGTTTTCCAAATCTCGACCTCCAGGCATTTACAAGTCCGACTACCTTGAAGAGTTGGGCAGGAGGTACGGACCTATTGAGTCAGTACTTGAAGTTCCCGAAAGGCCTGACTGGTGCAATGAGGACAGTCAGTATGAAGACGATGACTCAATGGTTCAGAATGGTCATTCCGCTGCCTCAACTTCAGCTCAAAACGACCCAACACTCACCAACCCTCATCCTGGCGTATTCCTCATCACTGACAATGATAAGATTCATCAAGTTCAGCGAATGTGCGTTGGAATGTGCAGCTACCGACGCAACGACTTTCCCGGTGCTCATCCAGTGTCGCTGACGCAGGAGAACATTATCCTCTTGGCGCAGAATGAGTACCTGGTCAGCTGGAAGGCGGACGGCACTCGCTACATGATGCTGATAATGGGCGCTGAGATGTACTTCTTTGATCGAGATTTCAGAGTGTTCCAGCTTATCAATGTCAAATTTTTGAAGCGAAGCGACTCGTCGCCTCTCACCAACACTCTGATTGACGGCGAAATGGTGGCGGATATAGTCGACGGAAGAAGTACGACACGATTCCTCATCTACGACATCATCTACTTTGATGGGCAAGACGTGAAGCAGAACAACTTTCGAGAGCGTCTCAATATCATCTTTAAGGAGATTATCACCCCACGAGAGAACGGCAAACGCACCGGTGCTATCAACAGAGAAACCGAACCAATCGGCATTCGCATAAAAGACTTCTGTGAACTGGAGAAAACCGTCAAGTACTTTAGCCCAAAGTTCACCCGAGGACTGTCGCATGAAATTGACGGGCTGATATTCCAACCAGTGAGCATGCCGTACACGCCCGGTCGATGTGACAAGATGCTCAAGTGGAAGCCACCGTCACACAACTCGGTGGACTTTCGCCTGTGCATTGTCAAGGAGACCCGACCTGGCTACGTGGAGGACTACCAGGGTCAGCTGTACGTCGGCAACCTTGATAAGCCATTCGACTACATCAAGGTGACCAAGGCGCTAAAGAACTACAACAACAAAATCATTGAGTGCCGGTACAATGAGCACAACAAAGGCTGGGAGCTGATGCGCGAGCGAACGGACAAGTCCTATCCCAATGCGTTCACTACCGCTACCAATGTGGTCAACTCGATAAGGAATCCAGTCACGCGAGACTTTCTCATTAATTACATCGCCAAGCACCGCTTTCGTCCTGATCATCATCATCACTTTTAGGAGAGGAACGTTTTTTCTTTCTTGAACCCATGTAGGAGAGTATACGAAAAGCTAGACTGAACACCTTGTCACTCTGCCCTGCTACTCACTTTACACTTGGGCAATAAACCACTTTAGGCCCATTCTTCCTTACTTGATGTTTACTNCACCTTGTCACTCTGCCCTGCTACTCACTTTACACTTGGGCAATAAACCATTTTAGGCCCTATCTTCCTTACTTGATGTTTGCCCCTAGCAACTGACCCAGCTCTAGTAATCAGTTTAGTCAGTAGCAATTGTGTGTGTGTGGGTGCCAAACATTATCTGTAAAACCGATGTGTGAACTTTTGAAACCAAATGAAAACAAAAATACAAAACAAAACTAGCAGCAGGAGAAGCAAAGTTGCGGTAATGTTTGTACTTGAACGTGAGAAGCTTTTCCGCACATCAGGCCCCTCTCTCTCTTCTGAGTAGTGGTGGTGTCACTCTCGTAGTTGTAGTCGTCGTTCCCTCTTCTCATATTTACAGGCAATATATCTGCAGCAGCAGTACTGCCGATGCCGATGATATTTAGGTACACGAGTGTTGTCGAGTGCAACTTCGTCTGCTGTCGTCTGACTGTGTGTGACCTGACTGTCTTCTTCTTCTAACACACATTCACTCCCCAACACTACCATCATCATAATCGTCACCAGCACCAATACCACCGTCCTGGTTCGGTGTTCACTTGCTTTTACCACCACCACCAACAGTCAACAAAACCACAACAGAAGATGTCTCTGAGAATTCTGGTGGGCTGCAAGCGTGTGATTGACTACGCTGTGAAGGTAAAGTTGGAGTTTATGATTCAAATGAGCCCATGTTGGTTTTGGGTGCACCTCTACTCACAATGATCATCTTTTATCTAGATCCGCGTCCGACCGGACAAGAAGGGCGTCGTGACGCAGGGCGTGAAGCACTCGCTGAATC